TTTTTTGGCCACTTGCCGCATAGATACACTATTGCTGAATAGTAAGCTCTGCCACATCTAGCGTATTCACCAGACAGAATGTCTTGTGCTTACCACTTAATTATTATTTACATAAAAAATTATTTTAATCACTGATTACAAAAACCTTTACTACGGTTTTAGAGTCAATTATATCGCGCTGTCAGTTCGGTTTTTTAAAATATAGATCAACTCCCACTAATCTTTTGAACAATCTAAAAAATATTTTCCGATCACAAACATGCTGATGTTATCTTCACGGACTTTGCCAAGGCTTTCGACAGAGTTGATCATGGCTGTCACTCTACAAAATTGCATCGCCTTGGTCTTTATAAAAACATGGTCTAGAGAATTCAAAGACCTATACGCTACGAAATGCTTGTATACTTCTGTAGTTAGATCAGCTCTTAAACGCTCGTCGGTAGTTTGACTTCCTAGTTATAGATGCCATGACTACTTGATGTTTGCTTTGCAAGGTTTGGGATGAGATCCTACGCTACCTCTTCCATCGTATATTAATAGATTGAAGCTCATTGACTTATTGGAATTTATTAATATTCACATCCCCAATAGGTGGTGTTAAGATATTTTGTGCCCTTGTAGCCGCCACAATACCGAACCAATTAAGAGTTGTCCAATCCGTTTTGGGAAATATGTAAAATGTTCAGCGATCATTACCACATATATGATCTCCGTCCGTTTTGTCCGTTAATAACGTTAAAAGCATTATATTACATAACTATCTGCTAAACTGCTTGTCGGTTCGCCTAAAGACTTAGCTGGCACGCAGTTTTGCAAAGTTGAAGAAGTGCGAAAATGATTGATGATTGGATCGCTGCCAAACTATTGTGAGTTCTTTCGACACGATATCGGCCAGATATATGGTAAAATGTTGTAGCAAATGATGGAGGTCAACAAGTGGCCTTTTCAAGTGAAAAAATGATCAAAATTAACGGACGGTCCTAATGATTTGGCTTTTCAAGATATAATTTATTGTTTATAATATATTTAATGAATTTGAATGTGTACGCGCGAAATAAATTCTTAGGTGAACTCTAATAAGAATTTTGTAATACGCCTTAGTGTACTTACCAGTTGATTTTTTGAAATCTGGAACCAATTTACTATTTTTTTCAGTTAATCAATATCTTTTTTACACGAACTTTTTGGGGGCCGTGTAAAAAAAGAGAATTGCATGTACGCCTAAATTAACTCAACGTAGATTGTGTTGCATCGAAACCTTGTTCTATGTTATATCAAAGTCGTATTACACGCAACTTTGAAGTAATATGTGTGCTGCTATGTCGCAACCAAGTCCTGTATTCCGTTCCCAATCCACGTGTATAGATGAGTAAACAAGAAAGTCGTACTCGCCTGGGAGCAAATCTTGTACACTCACAATTGTCTCTTGTAATATCTCGCCATCACACGAACGGACAGCCATGACTAGACCGACTTAGAATGATACTTTACGGACTCTATAAGGGAAAAGCGTATAACAATAATCGTGTAATATCGGAACCGTGTCTTACAAATACCGTATTATGCGAGAAACGCCCCGACAATTTAACATGGGTCATTTAATATATAAGTAAAATCTATTTGAATTTGCATGAAAAAAGTCCCGGAAATGTTCGTGTTCTTGTCATGTGAATGTCAGTGATGATGATCCAACTGAACATCGCGCATTGCTTAACTTTCCCAATTACGATAGGAACACAGAGGCAATATTGTGTAAAAAAGAAAGTCTGCAAGTCAAGGAATTCCAAATTTTTCAAGTCAACTACTAAGACTGTTAGGATTTCTCGAGCATGTTTCCTATCAAATGTCCGTTTTAGCCTTTTATTGGGGATTTTGTAGAAAAATCGCATTAAAAATCGCATAAAATATCAAAAATTCAATTCAAATTCATCCGTCCATCCAACCCTATTTCCCTATTACTGTAATTGCGAATATTTGGCATTTATGCGCTGCATTTATTTCTGCTCACTTAATTAATTTCAATTTTGCTATTAACGTTAAATCACTTCTTCTCCCTATTCACTTCTCCCTTCCACCCATACCCTTTCCCATTTCCCTTTCAATTTTCTGTTGTACATTTATACCTATCTAAATTAATATTCGTCGCGCATCATTGTAATATCGTGAAATTCAATAATAAAACGAAAATAAAATAAAAACAAAAGAGACAAGAGACAAAAAAAGCTAACCAGCATTACAAGTGTTGGTAGCGAGAAGAGAAACAAAGTATTTGAAGAAAGACGATGATTTCACTTTCATTACCATTTTGATAACAGAGTTTTGATAACGTGTTTTTACACGACGTGATTATAATCATCATGAGCAAATTTGTGCGAAAAGATTGATTTTAAAGTATTGGAGAAAAAGAAAAAGAAAAAAAAGAAAAAATGAAGAAGGAAACTTTTGAAAGCATGTTGTGTACAATGAAAACATAAATAAATACACAATTCCAATAAAGCAACTAGTCGAGCAAACCATGTGACCATAAATATATATTTGTGTAAACTAGCTGTGGATGGATGATATGTACTGTGGCTTGTCTTTCTATTTCTTAAAAACATCATGTTAAGGAAAATAAAAACAAAAAAAGAAAAAGAAAAGGCTTACAAAGTTTTCTCAAACTTGAAGCGAATTTGATGTACCCATCTCCCCTTAAGCGAGCCACAAATGCCGATCTCTGTCAGCTTTACATTTCATGTTAAGAATTTCGATATGATTCTTGAGATGATTTTTACTTTGTACTAATTTGTATTTCTAGATCTAGAGTACATTGTGGTTCATCATAATGTATATGCCAGGTTTTAAATGTCCTTTCCTTATGAATCCTTATGATTTTCTAACTTTAACAAGACATAAGATGAGTGGAAAGATAGGCAGACGCATAGCGAGAAAATCGGAAAATGGCAGGACATTTATAGCTATATGCCAATCCGGATACATACGTTAATCAAATATGCATATTTTGTAAAAAAAAACGCTCATATTTCCCATCGTACGTTTCTAGAAACTAAAAGCAAGGTAACAAAACTAGTTTGCCTTTATGTTTCGCTGTTTCGTGGGCACAGACGCGTTCCAATTTAATATAGAAGTACATAAAATGAATTATTATTCATTGATATTGATTAACAATGTTATGCCTTACACATTAATTAATTTATTGAAGTAAAAGAAGAAGACGGAAAACGAAACATTGTAACGTGAATAATGATGATAAGTGAAATGAATTTATTTCTTATAAAAGTGTCATGGATACAGCTACCGATACGTTATCGACAAGGACGTCATTCAACTGGAAAAAAATGTTAATATTCATCTCTTTATTTGATGCTATTCGTTTACTTCAATAGATCGCCTACATCACCTACCTGGAACACAAAATGTCTACGGAAGGTCTACCTGGAGCACAAAAGGTCTACGGAAGTGTAATCGTTTGAGGTCCATTGACATTCTTATTTCAGGAGATTACATAGTGCACCTGTTTTGAACTCGTTCCTCGTCATCGCATTAAGATTTTCCATCGGAAGCATTAATTTATGCATATTTATCCAAAAAAATTACTAGTCGTGTGGCTGCCAGGCTATCACGTTATAGCGAAAGCCATTGACTCTACTAATATAAATTTTCATTAATTATAAGTAATAAGTGATAAGTTAAAAATCGTCCTCGCGAGCAAGAAAGGTTTTTTCGTAAATCATTGCGATCGTATATGTGTCATCTGAATAGTTCGCAATACTTACCATCAGATTTCGAAATGGCGTAACATGCGGCACAAAGCAATCACATTAAGATGTAAGTCGCCCTCGTTGGCAAAAATGATTTTGCGAAGAAAATCATCATCATCATCATTTTCCTCGACTTGTTTGAGAATTTAGACGCGTAAACTGCAATTTCTAAGACATTCCTGATAATAATTCGAAACGCCCTTTGTGATCATATATATGCCCTCGCTATAATTAACTTTGTAGTTGGAGTCGGTCTAGCATAGACCGCGAAAAGATCACAGAGATGCCTAATTCCTGAAAAATTCTAAATTATTCTTAACAGTCTACAAACCAAGCACGATATTCATTAAACATTGGCACTTTTGTTTTCGACTTGCTTCAACCATTCATACGGCGACATCCAAAACAATAAAAGTCGAAATAGAAAATAGAACCGTGAAAGATACGGTGTACTCTCAGCAACCCAAAGCTAATTTAAAAGATGGATCAAAATTGATATCAATTTTGCTAAGCAATCAGCAACAACTAATAATTTGTTTTTATATGTTGTACAAGCGAAAGCGAGTCCGTTCTAAATACGGGAAAAATCTATGGTCTTCGTTGTATGCTATTTTCAATTAATTCACTTTAAATAATAAAATATGTCACTCAGTGAGCCACGGATTAAGAGTGGAAGAAACCCGATCTCCCGCTTCACTTGATTATACTACACAAAAATATAACATACTATAAGCCTATAATGGTTGTATATAAATATATGAATAAAAAAATAACAAAAATGATTGCATGCTCTTAGGCATAAAAGATAAAAAGTTATTTACGATATTAAAATATTGCGCAGACGGATTTGAAATATATATTTATACAAAAAAGTTTGCATAATTTTAGGTGTCGCGAAGAATATTACCTTTCAATTTAAGAAAAAATCATTCATTTAAAATTTTATGTCTTTTGTACTTTATTTTATGTATGTTTTATATTTTTTATTCATTCATTCATTCATTCATTCATTCATTGAAATGTATTCCATTTTTATGCGGCCAGATGTCGGTATACATTTACGAGTTCACATTCCAACTATGGATTTAATAAAGCAGTACATCTTCTCGCTATCGCTGTAAATTGCTAAGACACAAGTTGTGTTTATATTCTTTTTTTTTTAAGAATCTAATCAACACTTAAGAAAAACTAAATAAATAAATACATATATGTATATATATAAGTATATATAAAAAGAACTTATTTATATATTTGTTTGAGATTTATTGGAATTTGCAGCTCATTTTCTTTATCAATTAATTCCAATTTCCGTTCCCAGCCAGGCCGATGAGTAGCGCCGCTAACGGAGTAAGGTGAAATTTGTGGGGGCACTGTGTCCACATTGGCACCATGTATATGCAGATGAATTTCTTTGCCATGATGCAATGATTCCAGTGCAGGCCAGTCAGCTTGAGCATGAGGATTCCAACCATATGCATAAGGTGTCGCTATATGATGCTCTTGTGTTTGCGGAAATTTAAAAGTTAAAAATTTACCCAACAAAGCGGCAGCATTTAATAGGACCAGAGTCTTAACCAAAAACAAAGTTTTCATGCCCAACATAACTAAGAAGGCGACCATCGTAAAGAGAATACCAAATTTAAACGCAAGCGGTATGAGGGCCATTTGCAGTCGTCGTATTTTGCCAAAAGTACGACGATCTGAAAAATTATTAATGAATTATTAAAGACTAAATTTCTTTTTTCTTATTCTTTTCTAACTTATTGTGCTGCGCTGTTAAAGTCAACATTAGTTGAGAGTTAGTCAAAAATGGAAAGTTATTATTAAATCTTACTCGCTATATTCATAGGCGACATTTTGTTTTGATGAGGAGGCATGTTTATAGTCAGGTCTGTGAATGTCTATAAAGACAGCAGCAGAAAATGGTCTCAAATTTTGGGTGCTTCTTAAGGTCCGAAGGTAACAATCAAATATTTTTTCAATAAATCGTCTTCAAGATGAAAGTAATACGAACGGTGACATTAACGGGAATGAAGATCAACTGAATATTGCTACGAGTACGAATTACGTTATCAATAAATAAAAATTTTGATCCGAAAATAACACTAGAATATATTATATCTAAAAATCATCTTATAAATTTGACTTGCGTCTTATCGTCCGGTACGTCTTATAATCCCAGAAAAACGGCAATTATTGACTTTAGTTCGTATTATTATTTGCAAAGTGCAGCCAAATCGTGTGAAACTATAAATAAATCAATCATGAATAAAACGATTTGATACAATATAAGGTGCACAATAACTTATAGTCTACAAATTGTTTATAAAGCGCTACTATGATATGAAAAACATAGCTTCAGTCGAATTCAATGCCGCCTTCTTAATGAGCATCATTGCTTGAGAAATTGCAAGCAGAGAATCACAAGGGTGTGCGAAATAAATTTGAATATCTAAGATCACCTTATAGCGTACTAAGCAGGTCTACTAAGTAGGAACATGAAGTTGGCTTTAATAAGGATGAAAATCTCTCAGTTCAATGTCAAAAATAAAGTAAATATCATTAGTCATATATTCTTATTGTCAGGATGTTCATTCTTAGGAAATGATTGCGATTTTGGGGTCTCCCATTGCAAATCATGGGCCGAAGTAGAACAAAGTGCAAAATTTCCCCAAGGCTTATGATCTGCAGGTTTAGTAAGCCGAAGATCTGAAACAATATAAGTACGTTCGTCTATTTCTCTGTTCGCCTGCCCCTCCGGTATAATATCTGACGAAAGCATATTTCCATTCCATACAAAGTTGGCGGAAACGTTAAAAGTTCTTGCAAGACGGTACTGCTAATGGCCCAATTCAATTAAAGAACTCATCTGTCCTTTTCGGAATTTCTCACAAATTGTAATGTATTTTAGAATGTGTTTGGGGGTGTGTGTTCGTGTGTGTGTGTGTGTGTGTGTGTGTGTGTGTGTGTGTGTGTGTGTG